TTTAAAAATCTACTTTTCTGTATGAACAAACTATAGTTACAATAGTCACACGCTGGTCTAAATGTGTGGCTCACATGCAAGCGCAACCCTGTACAGCAGGAATTTGTAGACCTATTTTTTTAAACATACAATTCTGATATCCATCAGCCAGGAGCAAAATACTTATTCAGGAAACTGGGCATGCATAATTAGAGAAACAAGTACTTGTGGCAATATGTTCAGTCTAGGACAAAAAGTTCAGTATTGGTCCCCCTTCAGACTTTCAGAAGTCAAATTTATAGGGTCTTCTAATTATTGCTACTAGATAGACGGAAATTTTAAAAAACCTTCACTGATATACTGCAAATCACCTTGAAATCTAGCAGGAAATTCTAATCAACCTTCTGCTGCTCTGAGGTGTAGATAGACAACCAAAGTAGGCACAATACTGCTTTTTATCCTCATTTATTATGATTTCCTAGTACAGGTCTTGCATACTGTGATGAATGCATTCCAACAATTCAACAAATGATAAACAGAAATTTGAATAGCAATAAGGTACCAAAGAGCGCATTTAGACCAGCTACAAGACTTCTATAATAGACTAGTGGTTTGATTATTGGTATCAATAACTTCACCAGTTCTACATATTGATTTAATCTAAATTTTGTAAGCTTTTAACTATATGTATTTTATTGTACATCATGCTTATTTGAAAGCACCTGGGGAAAAATGGGATATAAGTAAAGTGATTGATGGATTACTTAAGCAAGTTTTAAAGAAAATCATTTAATGCATTCCTTTTTCATGGGGGGGGGGGACAACAAGAATATTAAAAGCTAGAATCAAAATGTATGTGCACATTATATATTTAGAAAATATTATAAATAAAAAACAAAATATAGTAGCATCTGTACTATGTGGTAATGTATACAACCACAAACATAAATGTTTCCTTGTGTAACATTCTTGAATTAGGACACATATAAGAGATACTGCCATTTAAGGGACACCTGTAGATATATGTTGATGTTATTTGTTATATGAATGCATACAACATGGTGTGTGTAATTGTACACTGTTTATGCCTCTTTCATATTAAAACCCAACACAACCCATTTTAGCTCCTTATAGAGCCCACTTTCTCAAATACAGTTGCTTCTACAGAGTTTCCTTATTATTTACACCACTGATTAATTCTTGTAGACAACGATCACCCTCTCCCCAATTCCAGTAGCAAACTGATTTCAAACCAAATGGTCTAACAACCAAAGAAAATTGTCTGTTATTTGGAAAAGTTGCTTTCATCTATTATAGGGTACAGTAAAGTCTTCATCAGACAGAGCAGGGGAAACAGGGGAAATTGTCTTTTTTGCATGTAGAATTGTTGTCTTTGCATGGGATTCCATCTTTACAGGAGAAATTACTTGCCCCCATCTCACTGGATCGCCTCCTTTCACCTCTAGCTGCATCATTCGTTTAGAGGAGACCCAAAGCCTCATTCTTAAGACACCGCTTCTATGAGATACTTTACTTTCTCTCTTTCTCTCGCAATCCTGTCAGTCTGGAGAAAGTGCAAGGCACCATTCTTAAGAATGACACAATTTCGATGGGATCCTTTGTTTTCCCGCTCAAGCCCCTTACTCTAGAAGAGACCCAAAGCACTGTTCTAACTTCCTATAGTTGATAAAAAGGAACAAAAAAGTTACAAAGCGAGCAATTTCACAATTTCAAAAGCCTAGATGACTGTGAGAAAAAAATGCAGTGAAAGCAAAGTGGTGATAGCTTACAATTGAGCTATCACCACCTTAAGATTACATTACTTTAAAAAATACTATTTCTGGCTTATGCAGAAGGATTTTGTAAAAGAAGTAGAGCATAGGAGACCTCCCATAGGAGCACCCATTGAGACGATTCAACACGGGCAAATCCGACAGATTCCATCCCACATTTTTTTAAGCCCTTTCTCCTATTTCCATGCACACAAGGAGCTCAGAAGACAATTTTTCCTCAGCTTCAGTTCCCCTCCATTTATCCAACTTCTGATATAGTTAACTGATGAAACACCACAGATCACATTATGGGCTCTGTGGTACTTATACTATGAACTGTTTTAGAAGTGTATAGAAATGGGAGGAGGGTGTAAATTTGCATGTGATGTAGTCTTAAATCACACATTCCAATTAAATTTTTAAAAGAACATATATATTATATCACAGCATAACAAGAAATGACTAGCTAGAAAAGATAATTATACTTGGCAAGGTAGAATACAGTAGGAAACGGGGAAGACCATATTCCAAATGACTCTGTATCTGCAAGACCTGAGCAGGGCTGTTGATGACATGGTGACTTGGAGGTCTCCAATTCATGGGTTCACCAGAAGTTGACCTGACAGCAGTTAACAATAATGCAGACGTGCATACACACATGCACAATCAAATCCCACTTCAGAAATCACTTTATAGCGAGACCTTAAGCATACTGTACATTATTAGACAGCTCCTATCTCTCCTTTAATATGATTTTTCTCTGTCACGTATGTTCTTTTTAACTATCTTCATAAATGTTATTTTGTCAATATGCATGTGTATGTGTCATCAAGTCACCTACGAACTTATGATGACCTCGAGCATTTCAGGAGGAGGACTAAGACACCTTAACCACTTGGAATGCTGGCTAGTCCGAGTTGTACTATATGGCTGCCACAATACATTTTAAATGAACACCGCCGCCAGCCATTTTGAATGTAACTGTATTTTAAATTGCTTTTAGGGTATTTGCTGTAATGTATACTTATGTTTTAGTTAACTATGTCTTATTGGGATTGTTTTGTTTTATTTTTCATCACAATGCTGAATTCTGAATTCTTTCTTGTAAGCTCACTGTTATTACATATACACTGTATTTTATTTACAGAAGTCTAGCATTTTGAGCATTGGGCTATGAGTCTGGAGACCAGAGTTTGAATCCCTACTCAGCTATGGAGACCTACTGAGTGACATTGGGCAAGTCAGAGGGTCAACCTCAATGAAAACAACAAACGCCTTCTGGACAAATCATGCCAAGATAACTCTATGATAGGTTCGCCTTGGCTCATAATAAGTTCAAAACAAATTGAAGTCACACAATAATGGTTTTAGAAAACAGCCAAGTTGTTTCAATTCAATATGCAGACCTCCAAAAACACATTTTATGTACGTAGTCTCAGCTTGACACCGCTTTGAAGGCCATAGCTCAATGCTATGGAATCCTGGGAGTTTTGGATTGGTGAAGCAAGGGCAAACTTTGGCCCTCCCAGTTTTTTGGACTCCTACTACCACAATTCCTAACAGCGTACTGGCTGTCCAAGACTTTCATGGCCGAATCACTGGATTGCTGAGAGTTTCCTGGGCTGTATGGTCATATTCCAGAAGCATTATCTCCTGAAGTTTCGCCCACATCTATGGCCAGGCATCCTCAGAGATTGTGACGTCTGTTGGAAACTAGGTAAGTGAAGTTTATATATCTGTGGAATGTCCAGGGCAGAAGAAAGAACTCTTGTCTGCTTGAGGCAAGTGTGAATGCTGCAATTGATCACCTTAATTAGTATTGAATAGCCTTGAAAATGCAGCACCCAAACATGAAAGGCATTGCAGACTACTTCAACCAGAGAAGTCAGCCATAGCAGAGCACCTGATGAACCAACCTAGACACAGCATATTATTTGAGAACACAGAAATGCTGGACCACTCTCACAACCACCATGTCAGACAACACAGAGAAGCCATCGAAATCCACAAGCATGTGGACAATTTCAAGAGAAAGGAGAAAACCATGAAAATGAACAAAATCTGGCTACCAGTATTTTAAAAAACCTCTAAAATCAGGACAGTAAATAAAGAGGAACACTCAAAAAGCAGGGGAATTCCAGACAAGAATCAATCAGAGACAGCTAACACCTCCCAACAAAGGATTCCCTGAGGCAGCAACATGCCAGGCTTTGAAGCTGTAAGGCTATTCAATGCTAATCATGGTGGCAATTTGCAGCATTCACACTTGCCTCCAAGAGACAAGAGCTCTTTCTCCCACCCTGGACATTCTACAGGAATATAAACCTCACTGGCCTAGTTTTCAACAGTAAGAGGAAGAAATCATCTGTATTTTTTCTCCTGTGCGATCAAAGATAATAATAATAATAAACCTTTATTTGTACCCCGCTACCATCTCCCGAAGGACTCGGTGCGGCTTAAAAGAGGCTGAGCCCAAATACAACAATAAAAACAATAAATAACAATAAATAATAAAGATTAATATTTAGGTCTCTCTCTCTCTCTCTTGTTGAAAGTGCAACAATGCTTCACACCAAATAATTAAGAATGCCTCACAGTGAGCAGTAGTAAGAGGGTTCAATAGTTTGACTAATCCAAAGTGTCCTCCTTCCTTGTCTTCCTACCATGACCTCTCTGTGATATAAACTGATACTCAGGGCCAGCTAACACCTCCCAACAAAGATTCCACCAGGCAGCAATCAGGCAGGCTTTGAAGCTACGAGGCCATTCAATGCTAATCAGGGTGGCCAATTGCAACATCCACACTTGCCTCAAACAGACAATAGTTGGGTTGTTGTAGGTTTTTCCGGGCTATATGGCCATGTTCTAGAGGCATTTTCTCCTGACATTTCACCTGCATCTATGGCAAGCATCCTCACTACCTCTGAAAAACCTCGGAAAAAACCTACAACAACCCAGTGATTCCGGCCATGAAAGCCTTCGACAAGACAAGAGTTCTTTCTCCCATCCTGGACTTTCCACAGATATAGAAACCTCACTTGCCTAATTTCCAACAGACCTCATAACCTCTGAGGATGCCTGCCATAGATGTGGGCGAAACGTCAAGAGAGAATGCTTCTGGAACATGGCCATACTGCCCAGAAAACTCACAGCAACCCAGCCTAGAAATTGTGGGAGTTGGGAGTCCAAAACAGCGGGAGGGTGTGCCGATGTTGTCCCGAAGCTTTCCGGGTGCCGTGTGGCGCCTACCGGGAGAGCAGGGCCAGCTTCTGCTCGAGCATCCCCTCCATCTTCTGGGCCTGCTTGGAGAGCCAGTGGTCCACGCCGTGGAGCCGGTAGCAGGCCTCCAGCATCAGCCGGAAGTCCCCCACGAAGTCGGCGATGCCTCTGTACTGCCCGGTGGCGAACTTCTCCTCCATCCTCAGGAGGCCCATCCCGGGCGGCGGCGGCGAGGTTTCCCCGGCGGGGAGGAGAGGCGCCTGCTGCTCGCGGCCTGAAGGAGAGGCGGAGGCCTCGCTTGGGGGCCAGGGCCCGAGGAAGGGAGCCGCCAAAGGCCGGTGCTTCTCCAGCAGGAACTCGCCGAGGATGCGGTGGGCGTGCTCCAGCTCCGGGCTCAGGCTCTGCTCCCCCCCGCGGGCGGCGGGGCCCTCCTCGGCCTGCTCCTCCATGCCTCCCTCCTTGCCTTCGCCGTCCTCCTCCTCCTCCTGGGGCTGAGGGAGGTTCATTCCCCGGGAGGAGGAGGCCTGCGGGAGCCGGAGGAGGCCCGGAACCCCTTCCTTCTCCCCTCGCACGGACCCGCTTCCCCTCACATGTCCCCCGGTCCTCGGCGCCTTCCTCAAGGCGGGACTGAAGGGACACCGCCGCCCTGCCTGCCTGCCTGTCTCTGTCACTGAGCGGAGAGGCGGAGGGCCTTCCCCGCCCGACTGCGCATGCGCCGCCGCCGCTTCTCCCTCTCCCCGAGCCGTTGCGTTGTTTTGGGCCTCAGCTGGAGTTTGCGTCATCAAGCCGCGACGGGAAAGAGCATCTACTGCGCATGCCCCAGCACTTCCAGGCGCAGTGGACTTCATCTCCCAGAGTCCCTCACCGTTCGTCACAGCAGCTGAGGCTGCTGGGAGTTGAAGTCCAAAACTACTGGAACCTCTAGGTCAGTGGTTCTCAACCTCTGGGTCCCCAGATGTTTTGGTCTTCAACTCCCAGAGATCCTAACAGCTGGTAAAGTGGGTTGTTGTAGGTTTTTTCGGGCTATATGGCCATGGTCTGGAGGCATTCTCTCCTGACGTTTCGCCTGCATCTATGGCAAGCATCCTCAGAGGTAGTGAGGTATGCTGGTAAGCTGGATTTCTGGGAGTTGTAGACCAAACACCTGGGGATCCACAGGTTGAGAACCACTGGCCTAGGTTCTACCACACCATGCTGGCTCTCATTTACATATTTGTAATTGAAATTTAGCTGTATGTTGTTGTTCATTCGTTCAGTCACTTCTGACTCTTCGTGACCTCCTGGACCAGGCAACGCCAGAGCTCCCTGTCAGCCGTCACCACCCCCAGCTCCTTCATGGTCAAGCCAGTCACTTCAAGGATGCCAGCCATCCATCTTGCCCTTGGTCAGCCCCTCTTCCGTTTTCTTTCCATTTTCCCCAACATAATTGTCTTCTCTAAGCTTTCTTTTCTTCTCATGATTTGGCCAAAGTACTTCATCTTTCCGTCTACTATACTTCCCTCCAATGAGCAGTCGGGCTTTATTTCCTGAAGTATGGACTGGTTGGATTTTCTCGCGGTCCAAGGCACTCTCAGAATTTTCCTCCAGCACCACAGTTCAAAAGCATCTATCTTCCTTCGCTCAGCCTTCCCTATGGTCCAGCTCTCACATCCGTAGGTGACTACAGGGAATACCATTGCTTTGACTATGCGGATCTTTGTTGCCAGTGTGATGTCTCTACTCTTCACTATTTTATCGAGATTGGTCATTGCTCTCCTCCCAAGAAGTAAGCATTTCCTGGCTGCAGTCTGCGTCTGCAGTGATCTTTGCACCTAGAAATACAAAGTCTAGCACTGCCTCCACGTTTTCTCCCTCTATTCTCCGAACTCTAGGAGGGTTTTTTTGGACTTCGGCTGCTTCGGTCGTTGCTTAAGGATTCTGGGAGTTGAAGTCTAAAATCCTGACGGAATAAGATCAGAGTTCGGGGAGCATTAAGGCCTTGATTCCCGAATTCTTAAGGGTCTGTTTGAACTTCTCGCAATTTTTCTTTAGACTTCAGTTCCCAGGGCCTGTGCAGCTGGGAGCTGAAGTTCAAAACCCCGAGTCCGGGGAACATTAAGGCCTTCATTCCCGAGCTCTCAGAGTCTGTTTGAACTTCAGCTCCCAGAAGCCCTAGCTGTGTTGGTCAATAGTCAGGAATTCTGGGACCTAAAGTCCAAAGATCTTGTCCATGTGACGGTTTCCCCCCCCCCCAGGCATACTCAAACTCCCAGAAGCCCTACCCAGCTTGCTCAATGGTCAGGAATTCTGGGAATATTGCAAGAGTGATCTTAAGCTGAGGACTTGATGTTGTTGGGTACCTTCACATCCTTTCTGACTTAGGGTGACTCCAAGGTGATCTTCTCATGGGGTTTTCTAAGGCTGAGAGAATGTGACTCATCCAAGGTCACCCAGTGGGTTTCTATGGCTAAGTGGGAATTGGGAACCTGGTGTCCAGAGTCCTGATCTAACACTCAAACCACTGATGCAGAGAACTGGGCTAGAAAGATTTGGTGGCGTTATTCCCCTCTCGTCCAGCAGGGGGTGATCAGGGCTTAGTTGAGGCAGCAGGTGCTTAAGTCTTCATTGAGGTCCCTTCTACACTGCTAATATAATCCATATAATCAAAGCAGAAAATCCACATTATCTGCTTTGAACTGGATTATATGAGCCCACACTGTCATATAATCCAGTTCAAATATGGCAGTGTAGAAGGTGCCTGTGAGTGTAACTGCACTGAAACATAAATGCAGTTTGAGACCACTTTAACTGCCGTGGCTCAGGTCTATGGGAACCTGGGGTTAGGTCCCAGTTTGGTGAGGTACCAGCCCTCTTTGGCAAGGAAGGCTAAAGACCTCACTAAAATACACATCGCATCTGGCCACGGTGGTCCATGCTCTTGTTACATCCCGAATAGACTACTGCAACGCGCTCTACGTGGGGTTGCCCTTGAAGACTGTTCGGAAACTTCAACTACTCCAGTGAGCGGCAGCCAGATTGCTCACTGGAGCGACATACAGGGAGCACACCACCCCCCTGCTATGCCAGCTCCACTGGCTGCCGGTTCAATTCCGAAGCACAATTCAAGGTGCTGGTTTTAACCTACAAAACCCTGTACGGTTCTGGTCCAGTGTATCTGTCCGAACGTATCTCCCTTTACGTCCCACCTCGGAGTTTGAGATCATCTGGGGAGGCCCTGCTCTCGACCCCACCACTGTCACAAGTGAGGCTGGTGGGGACGAGAAGCAGGGCCTTCTCAGTGGTGGCCCCTCACCTGTGGAACTCACTCCCGGGGGAAATCAGAGCATCATCATCCCTCCTCTCCTTCAGGAGGAGGGTGAAGACATGGTTGTGGGACCAGGCCTTTGGGCAACCAGGCAATTAAATAAGATAATCAGACGAGCAAGATCAGCAGGATTGTCGAAGTGGAATCAAAAACAGATCTATGAGTTAGTGTACACTGACAGGGTAGGAGGAAGAATTAGGTTTGTATTGGTTTTACTGATTTTATGGATTTTATTGATTTTATTGGGATAATGCATGAATTGTGGTAACTATGAATTGTTGTAGTTTTGTAATGATTGTTTTGTGTGGCAGGCATCTAAGCATGCCTTTGCTGTTGTAAGCCGCCCTGGGTCCCCTATGGGGTGAGAAGGGCGGGGTACAAGAACCCCAAATAAATAAATAAATAAATATTATTCCACTGCATTGAGCCATTGAAGTTAAAGGTCGAACTGCATTCATTCTACAGTGTACATGCACGGTGCCTGTCCTGAAACCAATGGAACTCAACAGTATCAGAGTGGGAAAATGTACACACATATTTTGTAGGAAATCCCTTCTCCCTTTCTGCTACTTTTCTGGAGGTGGACAATTCATCATAAATGTATTAGACAACTGTTCAGTGGAATATTGAGGTTTCTTCATCTCCATCATTTGAGCATTGCAACCTGAGACCATCTCTTACCAACAGTGCTAGGGATTTTGAAGAGGCACAAATTGAGGGAGAGGCATGCCAAGAGAAAGGTGTGTAAAACACATAAACACAGTATGTCACAACAAACGAGATATATATGCTGGATTTCGTATCACAAAATCACAAGTCAAACACTTCCCAAGCATCTAGGACTATGTGATGTATTTCGAATGATGCGCGCAGATTCAAGTAAGGTGGCCTTTTGCAGTTGACAGATTGTGATTTTGTCAATGTTTATTGTTTCCAAATGCCAGCTGAGATCTTTTGGCACAGCACCCAGTGTGCCAATGACCACCTGTACTACCAGGAACATTGACAGCAAGACAACAAGAGTTCAAGAATAAAATCATGGCCCATGCTGTATCAAATGCAATAAAAAAGCGACTCCCAACTTTAAAAACAGTGCCTAAAAACTTGGTGCCTTTCATGAAGGATGTGAATACATTACTTTCTACTGTTCGAATAACATCAATTGAACAAACAAACCAGTTTGCCTACAATATAGAGTGATAGTAACAGAAGAGCTTGGGCTTCTACAACCAATGCAGTCTCCAAGAAAATTGACTGGAAAACCAAAATGGGAGGTCACGTTGGAGTTGAAAATCAAAAATCTACAATCAGATGTAAGTAACCTGAAAAATATGATGGAGAAGAAACTGAAGAATGACAAAATCAAGCAATATCTAATCAGAAAGTACTGGCTGAACACCAGAAAAATGGAAGAAGCTTTAGAAATTGTGAAAGAACAAATTACAGCAATAGCCAGAAAAATCGAAACATATGAGGGGTATTTTTTAAGTAAGATCCGTTTTGTTGTAGACACTAGTAGTTCGCGCGCATACCGCAACGAGCGTGTGCGTCGTGTACCAGCATGCCTCGGGAACAACTGTGCTCAGTTTCCGCTCTGTAGCTCACCTGTACGGTTCTGTTCTGTGCTTTGAAAATGTTTAAGACTCTCAACTCACCTTCCTCCGCATGTGAGGTTCGCTCAGGGATACGGTTTTTGTCAGCAAGGGACCTGCCTGCTGCAGAAATCCATCGACAGATTTGTGAAGTGTACGGTGATACTGTTATGAGTGAAAGCAAAGTGCGTAAGTGGGTACGACAATTCAAAGATGGCCGTGACAACGTCCATGATGAGGACCGCTCCGGTCGCCCTTCTTTGATTACAGTGAATCTTGGTTATCGGAGCAGGCGGCAAGTTTTTATGAAGAGGGTATTTTAAAATTGGTTCAGAGGTATGATAAGTGTTTGAACAAACTTAGCAACTATGTCGAAAAATAGAGTGAAGTATGTACTTTCTGAAAATAAATTTACTTTTTTGAAATAAACTTTCGTTGTGTACTTATGTTCAAACGGACCTTACTTAAAAAATACCCCTCGTATGAAGCCAGAATCATCGAGTACAGACAAAATGAACTATTTCAATCAGACCAGAATCTGAACCAAACAACAGACACAGTAGCCATAAAGCCTGGTAAAACTGTAAAACACATTATTATTATTATTATTATTATTATTATTATTATTATTATTATTATTTGAAACACAACAAGATGAGTCCACTGCAGACAAGATCACTCTGCTGGCTGTTGTATTGGATCACACGTTGGACACTTCCCAAGTGTCTAGGACTGTGTGATGTATCAGCGAATAATGCGTGCAGATCCCAGTAAGGAGGCCTTCTGCAGCTGGCAGATGGTAATTTTGTCAGCGCCAATTGTGTTTAAATGCAGGCCAAGGTTTTTAGGCACTACACCCAGTGTG